AAAATCAGCGCGTTATTTTCTGAAAGAAGCTTTTCCACACTTACTAGCTAAGTTCGATTCCTTTGGGGAAGTTATCGAAACCATTGACAACGACAAATTATTTTCATATCTCAGTAGACACGAGGAAGAAAATTTTATTCGAGATTTTACTAAGCTAGTCAACAAGAACGAACACCGCCCTGCACTATCGGCGAACAATGGTATGAACACTATGTTACAATTGGCTACAGAGAAAGGCTTTGAAAGAGTTGTCAACACGCTACTCTCCTCGGGCGCTGACCCCAATGCTACATGTTCAGGAAACACATACAGACCCATCGCGATCGCCTGTCAAAATGGATATTACAAAATCTTAAAAAAGTTTGTTGAAAATGAATCTACTTTGTTCGATCAAGTAAACGGCGAATCCTTGATTCAAATAACAATTAAGGGCATGAGATTAAATGCCAAAAACCCCAACAGTGATCATAAAGGTTGTTTAGAAATTTTACTCAAACACCCTAAAATCAACATTAATGTTAATTATCCAGATCTAAAAGACAATACAGCACTACATTATGCAGCAAGAAATGGTGATTCTGATACAGTACTGGAATTGTTAAGAAATGGAGCCTGTATTGGCTTGAGAAATAAATTTAATGAACCTCCGCTGGCAGACATCAATGCAAAAACACTGGAGACATATTTAGACGAATGTATCACTACAAATGGCGAACGACCTAGCGACGATGATTACGAAATACACTTGAAATACAGCTTCCTTGTTTACCCCAATAATTCACTTGAAAACGAACTAAGTAAGCCTTTAATGGACAACGCTAACAACAACATCAAAGAATACGATGCAATTTTGGCACCAGAAACCGATGCTTTGTTGTACATGACCCGAAACGACGAATTAAAACAGCTACTAAAACATCCAGTAATCACGAGCTTTTTATATTTAAAGTGGCAAAGAATAAGCTGTCTCTTTTTTGCAAATATCACTTTCTACTCTCTTTTTTGGTTGTGTCTCATCTTATACATAATATTAGGGTACGGTATTGAAAATAAGCAATCTATATCTAATTCAATCGAAATACTAAACGCCGTGACTCATGTTGGTGCAATTATTGGTTTCATAATGCTCATAATACGTGAACTATTTCAATTGATAGTATCCCCAAGCAAATACTTACAGAGCATAGAAAATTGGATGGAGATAGCACTGATATTCGTAACAGCCTGGATTGTGTGCTACGACTCCGCCGCAGCGTCGACCAAGCAACAACTATCTGCTATAGCTATTTTGTTATCATCTGCTGAACTAGTTCTCCTCATTGGCCAATTTCCTACACTATCTACAAACATCGTGATGCTGAAAACTGTTTCGTGGAACTTCTTCAAGTTTTTGCTATGGTATTGCATTTTAATAATTGCATTTGCGTTAAGTTTTTACACATTATTTAGAGAAGATAACGAGGAAGATCAAACCCCGCCTAATCCTAATAATACCGGGAAGGAAGAAGAAGAGGAAGACTTTTTCGAAGACCCTGGAAGATCTCTATTCAAGACGATTGTCATGTTGACAGGGGAGTTCGATGCCGGGTCCATAAAGTTCAGTACATTCCCAGTGACCAGTCATATAATATTTATGGTATTCGTCTTCATGATTCCGATCGTGTTGTTCAATCTATTGAATGGCTTAGCTGTCAGCGACACCCAAGAAATCAGAGCAGATGCCGAATTAGTTGGTCACATTTCTCGAATAAGGTTAATATCGTATTTTGAAAGTGTACTAATTGGCAGCATTCATACTACAGCCTCGAGATGGTGGTTTTGGCCGTCTTGTTTGGAGAACTTGCACAGCATAAAACAGAAATTGTTGAAACCTGTTGCGAAACGCGTATGTTTGTTTCCAAACTTTTTGCCCAAATACAGGATTATTGTGAAACCAAATAATGACAATAAGATTGAAATTCCTCACGCGGAACCTTTGGGGAAGTTTGGAGACGATTATGAAGATATTGAAGGCGGTGGATGCTGTTTTGAGCGCTGTCAGAAATATAAATTAGATCGAAAGATTGTGAAAAATGCTAAAATTGTAATAAGCAACAAAACAAATGAGACAGAATTCGACGAGATTAAGAACAAATTGACACAAACCGAGTTGAAATTGGAGAATGTCGAAAGTATCCTCAAGAAAGTGCTGCAAAAGTTGGAAACGCAACAAAAGTATTAAAATATATTATGATGCGCCTTATTAATAAGTTTGACAATTCCATACGCAAATAAGTATTATAGATATAAAAAATAATTTAAATTAAGCTTTTTTAATAGTATATTAAGTTTTTTAAATGTTTAACTTATCATGTGCATTTATATTCTGATTTATAACATAACAAGCTGGTTTTTATTTATTGTATTTTTAAAATAACTTTTATCTCATACGATAACACTGGCTTTCGTTAGCTTTTTATGACGTCATTCAAATAAATATTAATTAATTTATGTCAATGTTATGAATAAACGACAACATTATGATTTACATTGCCATGTTTTATTTGTATTGCCTCTCTTATAAATACCAAATTCCTCAAAGTGAGTGGTGGATATTAAAAATGGTGAATTATCAGATCACTACTGATATGATAAACGAAGAAGGAATAATTGAACAGCTTCTAAAGCCTAATCGTAAATCACTATGTCAATGAGGGCTATCGTATTTGCGCTCACCAGCTGGCGCCATTGGCGAATTACAAGACCCTACAGTGGCGCCATTCTAATGAGTAAATGTTCAGCCAAACCAACGCTATCGATCACACGCTATCAGCCGGCGTGCAGCGATGGCGATCAGACTTAAATGCATTGATCGCCATCGCTGCACGCCGGCTGATCGCGTGTGATCGCGTTGGTTTGGCTGAACCTTAAAAAACCCATGTCTTCTATCTTCCGCTAGAGCGCTTACCAGTTGGCGCCACTGTCTTAGCCGATAGCGAGTGACAGAATCTAACTACAGTGTTGCCTACTGGTGAGGTCAAATACGATAGCCCTCATTAAATATGGCGTTCCGTGTACATACGACAGCAATAAACCCTATAAAATTGTCAAGTTATTCAAAATTTGGTTTGAGATGCGACTCAAGCTTCAACAATGACAGGACGCGCGGACTGTCATGGGTCGCGCAACCTGTCATTGGCCTATGATCGCGCCGGCGATGGCGATCTAGACGCGTTGGTGTGGTTGAAGGATAACGCTAGAAAACTTTTAATACCTATACACTTTTTTGCAAATTCGCCCCTATTATTTTTTTATTTTTTCTTATGTGACAGGAGGCAAACGAGCAGACGGATCACCTGATGGTAAGCGATTACCGTCGCCCATAGACACCCCCAGACCCAGGGGAGTTACATGTGCGTTGCCGGCCTTTAAGGTGAAGATACGCTCTCCTCTTGAAAGCTTGCAGGTCGTATCCGTACGGAAACACCGCATACGACAGTCCATTCCACAGTTTGGTTGTACGGGGCAGGAAGTTTCTAGAGAAACGTACTGTTGTGGACTGCCAACCATCTAAGTGATGGGGGTAGAAGTGCTGTGCTGCTATTACAAGTCCAGTCGCGGAATTTAAAGGTTCGTCACCTTAGTGTCGGTTTTCGCTTGCACTAGGTACTGTAAGAGTCAAACCTGCCTACATAACAGTGCAAGAAACAGTGCTGCTAACATTTTAAATAAATATGACGTTTGGTAACGAATAAGGTTTTGCTTGTTTATTTTTCTATCCCATCAGTCCAATGCAATGATGACATTGACCAATTGACAATAGCTTTTTTTATTTAATAGAAATAATAATGGCAGGTTGAACCAACAAGAAGGTTTTATTTTATCAATCATAATAATCTTCTTGACAAGATAAATCGTCAAACAACTTTGATCTGAATAATTTTGAACTTTACTGACGAACTGTTAAAGATTATTTTCTCTGACTCGAGATTATTCTGTAACATAGTTTCAAAAGGTAATACCTATGCTCGCGATTCGTTAAAGGAATCAATTTGAAAACTGACGAACCTTTTCATTCCGTGACTGTACATAAGATCAGGCCTGTTTATCTCCGCGAGTTTACATCGAAAACAAAACACGCACGATGGCCCACCTACAGGATACTATTCGACAAGGCCTCACATACGAGCGAACATTGACTCACGCACGCGTATTCTTGTGTGTGATGGAAGAAAATAAAGAAAATGGTGTACCTACTAAATTTAACTGCCTAAATAATAATAAAAACACAAAAAGTACTTTTTTAAGTTGCCTCAAGACACTGAGAGGTCATGATAATTCATACTAAATCATGTATTTCCTCCGCCATTTTCCGCAGTTTGGCACCTCACGTCACATCATTTTACCGAAGTCAGCCCTATAGCTTCGGCGCAGTGCCGATCACTGACGTTTGTCAACAAAATGGTGCTTGACTCTTGAGACAGGCTAAATTACACCATATTGTTAATGACATTGAGCATACATTTTTTTAAATACCTTCGCGAAGTAAAACTTCTGTACGTAGTACTTATTTTTTTTTATTTTTTTTTTTTGTGGCAACCAAACCTCTCTGGGAGGTTTATTTCTGGCAATGTCGAGTGAAAAATATTGACATAGTTATCAATAGAACGTGGGTGTTTCAGTTCTATTGATTTTTCATGGATTCCGTGGAGTTAAGTATGCCCGTAAGCAGGTTTCGAGACGCCACCGGGTCCAAAGCGGGTTGTTCATACGACAACCCACTCGACACTCGATGCGCGCTCAAATTCGAAGTATTTCAATGTTTTTTATAATTTATCACTTCACTGCACTTTAGAACACAAAATAACACCAAATTTGTACACTAAAGTCCATTAAATAATAAATTGAAATCATTAAAACAGATCGACCACGCTTCCCGTTCAACTACCCTCCACGGAATCCGTACTTATTATTATTATGTGATAAGATGTCAGTGTTTAGTTTGACGTGGTGTCACTGACCTTGTCGAGGCTCTGTATGAGCTGGCACCAGGAGGGCTCGAGCACCTCCACGCACATGTAGTACTGCACGTGCTGCACGCAGCTCAGCATGCGCTGGCGCAGCGCGAACGCGTCCGCGTACAGCCGCGCCTCCGAGAACCGCTTCACCACTTTGTTGTATAACCACACCCTGCAAATGGACACTCGTTAAAAGGAAGAGTAGATATACAGGGTGTTAGGTAAATGGGTATATGAGCCGACACTAGCCGGGCATGGCATATAAATGGTATGTTGAAGTCAGAAAATTAATATCTTCATTTTAATTATTTTAATTTTCATACAAATCGTATTTTATAAAATTTATTTTATATGAAAATAAAAAAAATAAAAATGACGATTTCAAATTTCTGACTTCACCATACCATTTATATGACCATGTTAACATGGGCTAGTGTCGGCTCATATACCCATTTACCTAACACCCTGTAGATAAACTTAAGCTTACAATACTCATTAACAAAGCGTCGGTAATATTTGGTTCTGCGCAAACGAGCCACCGACATAGCGTCTGTTACGGGCGATCGGTGGCCGAATGACAACAACATTGTCACGGTAATACTATCATACAGTATTGTAACTTCATATAAACAGACGAAACGCGAGCTTTCCTACGAACGTCAAATCTCAGGATGCGCTCGAGATCCAAAAGTCGGGGATGTCGCAAATGTGCCGCAGTAACGAACTGACAAATTGGTCAATAACTAATCACGCAGCTCAGCATGCGCTGGCGCAGCGCGAATGCGTCCGCGTACAGACGCGCCTCCGAGAACCGCTTCACCACTTTGTTGTATAGCCACACCCTGCAAATGGACACTCTTAAGGCTGGTTTTAGAGTCACGCTGACCGTCAGCGCTGACAGCCGAAATGTATGAAGCGTCGGCGCCGAGCGATCAGCGTCACTCAGGAACGTTCCCTTCAATTATACATACATATTGATCTGTCAGCGCCGACGATCAGCGAGCGGTCAGCGCGATTCTAAAACCCGCCTAAAGAAGCGTAAGTAACCTTAGGCCAAGGATGCACAAACCGCGGCCCCATGTAAATGTATGTGCAGCCCGTCTAATGAAATAGCAAAAAAATTAACAAACTGAACCTTTATTCACTTGTTTTTATATTCTGTGTATCGCTTTTGTCTTACAATCTGCCCGAGTGGCCCCTGGTCCCATTGCAATCAGTCTATGCATCCCTGCCTTTGGCTCACCCCTTTGTCGTACTAGTATAGCCCCATCCTATAAATTAGTGAACACTCATAAAAAAAACTAACGTAACGCATACGGGCCACCGACCACAGCCACCGGTGGGCGTCAAAGCGCTACGCCCTTTGGCTACGCAAACGAATGCCCATCGATAAAATAAATTACTATACTAAGTTACAAATTGCCGCCACAGATGGCGTGTCGCATAACGCGAGTGGACGCCGCTCGCTATACACTCGCAGCGATTTGATACAAAGCGTATCAAAATCATATAAACAGATTGTCACCAGTAGTGGCTTTGATCGGTGGCCCGTTTGGATCTAAATAACCTAATAAATTACAGTCCAATGGTATCGAAGTCGGACTACCGATTAAGGATCCTATGACGTCATACTTATTCCGTACTATCAGTGTTGTTTGGCTACTTACCTGCACAGTAGTCTTTCAACGTGCTTGCAGTAGAACAGGTGTCGGAATATCATCTTACCATTTATATGACCATGTTAACATGGGCTAGTGTCGGCTCATATACCCATTTCACAGAATAATAATAAGTACTACGTACAGAAGTTTTACTTCGCGAAGGTATTTAAAAAAATGTATGCTCAATGTCATTAACAATATGGTGTAATTTAGCTTGTCTCAAGAGTCAAGCAAGTTTGTCAGAAGTTTTGTTGACAAACGTCAGTGATCGGTACTGCGCCGAAGCTATAGGGCTGACTTCGGTAAAATGATGTGACGTGAGGTGCCAATCTGCAGAAAATGGCGGAGGAAATACATGATTTAGCATGAATTATCATGAATAATATTAACTACTTATTTACCTCTCAGTGTCTTCAGGCAACTTAAAAAAGTACATTCTGTGATTTTATTATTATTTAGGCAGTTAAATACTGCACAGTATTTAGTACACCATTTTCTTTATTTTTTTCCATCATACACAAGAATACGCGTGCGTGAGTCAATGTTCGCTCGTATGTGAGGCCTTGTCGAATAGTACTCTTGTAGGGGGCAATCGTGCGTGTTTTGTTTTCGATGTAAACTCGCGGAGATGAACAGGCCTGGTAGTAGTCAAGACAAACAGACGAGTTATTCCAATGTTCGTTTCAACCAAAAGACGTTCACTGCTGCACCAAGTTCTCCCCTAGGATTTCCACATGGACCGGTCCTACGCTGCTTGCATCTAGGTGTTTCAATGTACTTTTGACTTTAAAAGCTTCTCCAAATATAACGCGTACCTATTGCCGCGTTATAGCGCACAGTGTGTTATGGGACTGTATAAACGGACATTCTTATTGATTTGATGAAACGTATAGCGCTCAGTTATACAAACATGATAGTAAAACTCCCGTTTAAAAATTCCACGTAGTTTTCGCGGTATCAAAATTTAAAGTTACCTATTTTTTTACTTCAAAATTATGCAAAAATATTCTCACTCGTTAACTAATAACATTTAATTCAGAATTGTTATAATACTTCATAGAGCTCTTAAAACTACACGTTGACGTAATAAGCGTATTAAGTGCTTCGTAAACGCATTCAGTTAATTAGGAAAAATGATTTTAGTGATTTTTGTTTTTATTTTTTTCTCAATTATACCTTAATATATGCAAACATTTTTAATTGCAAGATATAGTCTGATATTTAATCTAATTGTATTAATAAAAACAGCTTTAAACTCCGTGATATATTTGAGAAAAAGCATAAAACGTCTTAATAAAAATTTTACGAGTCTAGGGTCGACAATTTTGGAAGGAATAATTCATGTCTAAAAAGTTTCAAATCCCGCCTGTTATGTGCATAGTGTTGAAGGTTTTAAAAAGTCACATTCACATTGTTTTAACCGACTTCAAAAAAAGGAGGAGGTTCTCAAGTCGAGTCTTTTTTCTTTTTTAACACTCTTATATTAACTTAAGTTGTATGTAAGTAACTAACTAAAAAAGTATGTAAACAAATCTAGGAAGTCGAATTTATCCTACCTATAATAATTTTCTCATCGATTTGAAACCTATGTAAATCGAATGTCAATACAATAATTTGGTACAATCGAGCTGATGATTTTAAACATCCAAAAGAAATATTGCTATTAAAAAGTGATGGGAAATTTACAATTCTATATGGCGCATATTTTCAATTTGATTTTCCTCAAATATATCACGGAATTTAAAGCTGATTTTTTTTATACAATTAGATTAAATATCAGACTATATCTTGCAATGCTATAATTTATGACGATCTGTGACAAACTAAATTTCACGCGGGTGAAGCCGCGGGCAAAAGCTAGTTATCCAATAATTCCTAAAACCTCTCTAAAACAATTCGATATTCCTAATAATTGAGTTGGCTTTCAATTTCAATTGAAATTCAAATAAATAACTTACTTACCTCCCCGAATCAACTGGTAATTTAAAAAATGAAAATTCGGTATTTAATGATGAGTTTAAGCAACCAAATACCGAACAATTATAATACGACTTTTTCTGTTGACCGGCGCGTGACTCAAGCGAACCACAGCGAACGTGTGGCGAACGTCTGTCGCGCCACGTCGCGCTCGCATTCGTCCAAGACAGTCTTGCTAGGAGCGGTGTCTATGTGTGCGTGGCTCGAGCGCGTTTAGTATGGAGTTTGTCTTCTGTTATATTTTGTGTCTGGTAGCAGGCGATGGCCTTGTGGTTGAGCACGAGAGACACCGGCCACTTCACCTCCATGCCGAACGAGAACGTCTCGATGCCGGTCAGCGGCGGGCTGTCTTTGTGACGTCACAGTCATGACGTCATGCACATTGCGTACTATCAGTGTTGTTTAGCAACTAACCTGCACAGAAGCCTCTCAACGTGCTTGCAGTAGAACAGGTGTTGGAATATCATCTGGTAGCACGCGATGGCCTTGTGGTTGAGTACAAGCGATACTGGCCACTTTACCTCCATGCCGAACGAGAACGTCTCGATGCCGCTCAGCGGTGGGCTGTCTTTGTGACGTCACAGTCATGACGTCATGCATATTGCGTACTATCAGTGTTGTTTAGCAACTAACCTGCACAGCAGCCTCTCAACGTGCTTGCAGTAGAACAGGTGTCGGAATATCATCTGGTAGCAGGCGATGGCCTTGTGGTTGAGCACGAGAGACACCGGCCACTTCACCTCCATGCCGAACGAGAACGTCTCGATGCCGCTCAGCGGTGGGCTGTCTTTGTGACGTCACAGTCATGACGTCATGCACATTGCGTACTATCAGTGTTGTTTAGCAACTAACCTGCACAGAAGCCTCTCAACGTGCTTGCAGTAGAACAGGTGTTGGAATATCATCTGGTAGCACGCGATGGCCTTGTGGTTGAGTACAAGCGATACTGGCCACTTTACCTCCATGCCGAACGAGAACGTCTCGATGCCGCTCAGCGGTGGGCTGTCTTTGTGACGTCACAGTCATGACGTCATGCATATTGCGTACTATCAGTGTTGTTTAGCAACTAACCTGCACAGCAGCCTCTCAACGTGCTTGCAGTAGAACAGGTGCCGGAATATCATCTGGTAGCAGGCGATGGCCTTGTGGTTGAGCACGAGAGACACCGGCCACTTCACCTCCATGCCGAACGAGAACGTCTCGATGCCGGTCAGCGGCGGGCTGTCTTTGTTCTGTTTGTACTCTGGAATAAGGTTTGAATTGCTGTAGACATTTTTCCTTATTGCTATTGTTGTTGCAAATCACGACATTGAGCATTATTGCTATTGTTGTTGCAAATCACGAAGGCGAGTGAGCTTTACATATTGGCTTGCTGCTGTTCGTTTTTCAAAAGTTTTTATAGACATTACACTGTAGTTCCAAAATACTGAACTGTCCTATGCATGACATTGACAGTGGGGCGCCACCATCAATACCGGATCGCTGGTTCCGATTTTTGCCATGTTGGAAACCATATAGTTGAACGATGGTAGCGCCCCCCTGTCATTGAGTTTCGTGGGACAATTCAGCTTGGGTCATCTATATCGTTATGTGCATGTTTTTTTTTGGATTAGATTTTATTTGTATAGTTGGACAAATAATCAAACTTACCTTTTTCATCCTCAGTCTCAATAGATAAAATTTTGAACATTTGGAATTGCAAGTCGTAAGGAAGCAACTCCACTCTCATATCTTCGTTATACGGGTCATGACTAGCAGCAGATAGCCTGTAATCATTTCATAACAAAATGCAGCATTAATAGTAGGTATTCAGAAATAATATAAGACTTTAGCTACTGGCATTTGTGATGTAAATGTGTAAGTTTTAAGTTTGTGATTGTCTATAGTTACCTCAAACATAGCCCTAAAAGGGATTCCAACTTGGAAGGTATAATGTCATCAATCTTTTTAGACAGCTCCTGTTCAGTTGCATCCATGAATTGGACAATGAAGTCTCCTTGACTCATCAGGAAATAGTTCTTGACTGACTTCAGTCTGCCCATCAAGTCATACTCTTTGAGTAACAGTTCTAGAAGCGATTTACTAGCATAAGCGTAGGCTTTTTGTATTATGGCACCGTAGTTTTGTTCTCTGAGTGAATATTTGATTTCTTCTGTGTTGGTTTTTGTTATAGGCTTCCCTGAAATGACAGAAATAGTTTTCTAAGTTTAGACTTTAATTCCATTGTAAATATTATTAATTTTTATGAAGTGACTCAAAACTCGACTCAAGTCACGTCAATAATGGATTGAAGCCTGTGTTGGTTGAATTAAATCTATTATATGAACCACAGGCTTGAATCTAATCTCTGATATGGCTACATAGCCGAGCGTCGTTTCATACTAAAGGCCTAAGTACAGATTGTATTCACCATTTATTTCAAAACTTACCACATTGACTGATGACATTCAAATACTTTCCAGTTCTAAGTATGATATCTGTGAACTTGTCCAGGAACTTTGGAACTCTATCCCTCTGCACACTGTAGCGTTTCTCCCAGTAGTCCGCAGAGTAATCCACGGGGAGCTCTTCTTTGTTTATGAGCTCATTGTCTTCAATCATGAATTCCTGGAATAGTTATGTTAAAGTTGAAAAGCATCGAAGTGACCGAAACATGTACACCCCGGTCGAATAGGGATGATGACTGGGTAATGAAATCGAAATTATATTTAGTCCATCAGACAGATATTTTTTTTTTATTTATTTATTTCCAAGCTTAAGCCTATTTTTACAGAAATCCAATACAATAAATTAGAAAATATTAGACTCATATTTTTTATTTTTTTCCATAATCGAATAATTACAGTATTTTATTGAGTTGAAATGTCGCGTGACGTCACTTGAGTAAAAATTCTACTCTCTAATCTAATATGAGTCTAATATTTTCTAATTATCTGTCTGACGGACAAATAATTGAAATTTTGTCATCTAGCTTATTATCTGGCAGTCGTGAGGGGTGCGGATGAGAGTGCAAGGGAGAATCGCATTCCAGGGAGGTGCGTAGTTATCTTGATTGGATTGTAGGTAGTAGTCAAGATAAAAAGACGAGTTATTCCAAAGTTCGTTTCAACCGAAAGACGTTCACTGCTGCACTAAGTTCTCCCCTAGGATTTCCACATGGGCCGGTCCTACGCTACTCGCATCTAGGTGTTACCAATGTACTTTTGACTTTAAAAGCTTCTCCAAATATAACGCGTACATATTGCCGCGTTATAGCGTTAATAGGATTGATGCAACGGCGTACTGCGTCCTACGCATTCTGCCAACACAATTCGGCGCTATAGCGCGACGTCAGGCTAGCTCTCTACCGCACGCTAGATACGCGTTCTATTCGACGAACACGGTTTGTGCTTCAGTAAACTATTAGATTTACCTGAAAAGGGTCCACAATAGTTCCTTTATGTATCCACTGGTCTAAGATGTTCAGGTAGGGCCGGCAAGCTCGCTCGGTGAGGAACAGCGATATCTCTTGCGCCCGCCCGTCGCCCATGAGCGTGTTGGTTTTATCGTGTAGGACTGTCAGTACTGCTCCACCGCGGAGCTCGCTCTGTAATAGGTAAAAGGTTTATTAATTTATTTATGCTACTAATATTATAAATGCGAAACTTTGTGTGGATGTCTGGATGTTTGTTACTCATTCACGCAAAAACTACTGAACGGATTTTGTTGAAACTTTACAGTATTATTGTTTATAACCCAGAATAACATAATAGGCTATAATTTATGACGATCTGTGACAAACAAAATTTCACGCGAGTGAAGCCGCGGGCAAAAGCTATATTCCTTTGGAATATAAATGTTGGTAGAGTAGTGATGTTATGCAGTAGTAGGATCCCACTTCATTTAAGAGGTAAAACATTACATTTTCTTTATATTATATTATTCTTACATATTACTAACTAGCTTTCCGCCCGCGGCTTCGCCCGCGTGGAATTTTGTCTGTCACAGAAAAACTTTATCGCGCGCGTCCCTGTTTCAAAAACCGGGATAAAAACTATCCTATGTTCTTTCCCGGGACTCAAACTATCTCTATGCCAAATTTCATCAAAATCGGTTGCGAGGTTTAAGCGGGAAAGCGTAACAGACAGACAGACAGACAGACAGACAGACAGACAGACAGACAGAGTTACTTTCGCATTTATAATATTAGTTNATATTACTGATTAGATTACCCTAAGCATCAATACATACCTTTCCAATACTTGTTACAATGGCGGCAAGTACTTGCATAGTGTGCATGGTGGGCAAGACAAAATACCATAATTTCTGCAGAGTAAGGTTTGCTGACATATGCTCAGTTTCCAGCTGAGCTAGCATTGTCTGAAAAAATAATTAATATAGAGATATCAGTTAAACCTTAAATTGTAAAATGCATTTCTAAAATCTACACTATTATACAATGTAGAACAAGGCAGGTATATGACTGCAATCACACCTGATTTAGTACCTAATACCATCAATCCAAATGGCAATGACTTTACACACTTTACTGATGAAGGATTAATTGTTCTGATCCATTCAAAGGATTATTTATTGGTCAAAAATTATATGATACTTACATAATAATCTTTCAGTAGTATCTCAATGGCTGCCACTAACGCATGTAGAACCTGACCAGACCACATATCACATTGTTCTATAAATCTTCGCACTATGGAATAGTTGGATGCCAGTGGCAACATTTGCTGAACAATCTGCTTCAAAGCATCATCTAAGTCTTCAGATATTAAGAAGGTTCTGGCATCATAGGTCTCTTTTATTGGCTGGTGGACAATGTAGTTGCCAGGAATGCCAGAGAACACATACAAAAGCTCATCTATGATTATATTCTCCTGTGATGCCACTGGTACACCAGCTAAAAGACAAAAAGAATATTAATTTTAGATGAAAAATTTAAGGCTTGGTTGCACCATCTCACTTTAACAATATAATTTATTTTATTTTATTTTCTTTAAACATACAGCTTATATTTAACAAACATCAAAAGTCTGTCAAATTCCATACAAAAAACCCCAGTTATGAATAAAGTGAGGTGGTGCAACTTAGCCTAAGTCATTGCATTTCATATGTGCATAACATTTTACAGATTTAAAAACAATAGATATCTATCATTTATATTAGTTGACAGAAGTTGACCCAAGACCCTAGAGCTGTAGAGTTACAAAATGTACTTACACAAAGAAGCTATGATGGGCACTGGCTCTTTGGGGAAGTCCCATGACATAGCTGGATGATCCTTTTGCCAGTTCGGAAGATCCAAACTGCTGTACCAATTTGGACGGAGTTTGGCTTCTTTTTCCTCAAAAGATTTCATCACAAGCTTTTTGCTCTCATCCACAGCTTTCAGTAATTTATCTTTGATCTATTTAAATACAAAAATATATTAATAAAAACTTGATACATGATTTATGCTAAAACTACAGATTACAAAATCCTGCATATTTTAGAATTTCCAGTTTATTATATTATTATGTATTATAATAAACATTTTAGCTTTATTTACCAAACTATACATTGTTCAAACCTTTGATAAAAACAAAAAGTACCTGTGGCAGATCTTCTTTGGTAATTTGGTGCTTAGTGTCACCTAAAATTGGTTTGGGAGCAACTTTTGGTTTACTGCATTTGGACTTCTTCTCATCACACACCAATTTATAAAATAAAGCAATAATATCTGCCAAGTTATCAGTGCTGAAATGAATAATCCACTTGTTAATTGAAAGGCCAAGGATAGGTATCTACTTATGCTGTGTAGGTTGCAACTACTGAGGTTAAAACCTGGGTTCCAACTTTATGGGCGGCCATAGGCCAATGACACAATGGTTTAATTAAAATCCATACAGGTTATATACTACTTGGGTATTTCTAAAATAAATCTAAATGAATATGACCATTTTCCCAGTTATTCTTTACTGCATAATGTGACAGTACATCAAATAAAATAAAAGCGGTAAACGACTCACTTGCGGCTTCTCAAATCTTCATATTTCTTGAGGAAGATCTTGGCATTGGAAGCTTTTAGCGCCAACCTTTGTGCAAACTCATTAACTTGTTTCGTGGACAAATTGCTATTGCCGTAGTTGGGGTCGTTTTGTATATAATCTAATACTGTGTCTGCATCCAAACTACATCTGAAATTCAATAAAAACACCAAATAAACAATGAACCAGGCATGAAATAAACAAGAAATTGTATTGTTATAATATTACCCCAAGGCGTCCAGTAACTCCTTGATGGTACTTTGCATTTTATCCTTCGGTAATATCCAGTTTTGATACATTTATTCCATAAATAGGTATTTTTAAAAACTACGAAGATTTCTTATTTTGACAGTTTGTTTCAAACAACACTCACTGTCATAGAGAAAAGTCAAATCACAGACAAAGAAAGCACCACAGACAAGATTTGACGGAATTGATACAATGGAGAAGTCATATGGTATATTTTTCTAAGTACTTTATTTTAATTCTAATGTGATTAATACTATAATTTTTTTATATCAATGAAGAAAATGAATTAAAACAAAATAGTAAAAATTATTTACAAAATTAATGCACAAAGAAATAGGAAATTCTTATTTTAACCTTTGTTTTATTATAAATTGTGATTTTAGTTTTATTAGAACGATGCCTTCTCTCTTTATTATTCAGCTATATCGGCTCAACAGAGCAAAGTAATACATATCGGCTCTAAGCTTCTCTAAATTTTTGTACCACAGATTACATAAATTCAGCAGTACCGTCATCTTTCGATAATATTGTGTTTAAACGGAAAACTTCATCTAACGAATGTTGTCACATTCGAATATAGATGGCGCTAAGAGTATTACATGTTCACTTAAACCGTACCCGAAGCACGAAATAATTGATCTCGTTGTGGTTAAGGCACCTAAAACCTAGCCAAAGCGCACAAAAAGCATAAAAAAACCCTTTTTACATATTATTATGTACTGAGCGGTGTCCAAACTTTTTTAATTCCCGCGGCATCACCAGCGTGAAATTCAGTTTGTCACAGAATCGTCATAAATTATAGCCTGTTATTCTGGGTTATAAACAATAATACTGTAAAGTTTCATCAAAACCGTGACACCGAACCGTTTCATCGAACCAGACATCCATACAAATTTTCGCATTTATAATATTAAGTAGGATAGTGGGAAGTAGGATAATAAAATTATGTGACCAACATGAATTTATTACCATAGCTCTACATTTTTAGTAAACGTGCGTGAGTGCTTTACCAGAAAAATAGCAACAATAAAAAGTATTTATTTGTAACATTTGCTAATCGACACGATCAAAAGCTATTTGAGTTGTAAGCGCGTTTGTAATGCGATTTTTGCCAATTTTTTTGATCACACAAAACACTAATGTAAAAAAGTTTTCTCACTGTATGTCAAGCTAAGCTTTTTTTTCCGGCGCGGCGGCGGCGGTCCACAAAAGGCGACAAAAGTTCGGCATCCGTTTGTAGTGACATAAAGAAATCTTAGTTCTATTTTGATTGTTTGATAGGAAAACTTAAGATACGGCACTTGTGTTCAAATCTGCCGATTCACGATATAAAAGGTTGTGAACAATCTATAATTTGAGACGTGTTGTCAAACAAAAGTTGCTGCCGTTTTATTATTCACTATCTCGGACTCGGATTACAAAGGTGTGCGAATTTGATGTGCTGTCTAAATATTTTCGCTACGGCCTGTGATTGTGGGTGGTAGCAAAATGCAGCACAGACAGATCGTGTAATAGCTATATTTAAACTTTTGATTTTATTAATTAAACATTACATGACGTCATAAAGTTTCTGAATTAGTGGAAACTACCTTTACCGAACATAGGCGTCATTTCTTACCTCTGAAAACTATAAGTGTACCTTATTAAATTAAATCCCCACAAGCCACAGAAACAAGAAATTGGTTTCTTTAGTAATGTGAACAAGCCTTACTTCGCCCTAAGGATTATTTATTAGGGTTCGCGTCTGCTCAGGGCGTCCAGAGTCAGACATCTCTGAAGACTACAAGTTCCTAAGTACTTCTTTTAAATTAAATCCCCACAACAAGCCACAGAGTAAAGGAATTGGTTTATTCAGGCATTAACGCATAAGGGTGTGCTTAGGGCGTCCACTTTAAAATTAAGGGCAATTAAATACTTATTTAAATCTTTATCATGCTGTGCAAAAAGTAATAGCCCATCTATATTAACAAGAGCTTTATTGTTGGTAGGTATCATTAACATCTACAACATCATTAGGCCACTAAATATACCCGTAGCCTGTCTAAAGGAACGCAAAAATGACAATGTCCCATAAACACCTGAGTTTATGGAGTCAATGAAAAACGGCGTGCCTTTGAAATCCGTTTCTCTGATGTTGGACGGGTATCGCCATTCTTTTGGTTAAAATTTATGTGTTTTATACGGCCAGTCTATAAATGCCGCACTTTTATTGGCCGCTAGACGTTTACTGATTAATAAAGTGGGTGGAGACGCGGAAGAAGCCAACGATCTCGCTTCCTAGAAACCGAATGTTTGAGATCTAATAGACTTAAGTGATGAGCTTTCCTGAAATGAGATCTTCTTAATTATTTCTGGTCTTTTCTTTGGGTAACTTTTTACGATTTACTAAGATTAGAACTAAAACTGCCCAGATTTTTTTATCAAAAAGTTAAAAATATCAAATTATGTAGGTGTGTAAAAATTATGTTATGTAAAATCTCCCACATGACACCACGATGAGCTTTACAGCTATAATTTGCCAGTTTCTGATCGTTCTAAATTAACTCGATCAGCAGTCGAACCTGCGACTGTCTGCTTTATAAAATTAAATACTTACTTATCTAGGTATCACTTAGCATAAGAAAAATAAAATATGTATGTAAGTAAGCACCTCAGTTATGTAAAACTCTACATTAATTTATTATCCTTTACAGAGACACATTGTTTTATGAAGCTTAACTAGCTACCTGTTATTTTATTACTTTTATGTATTTTATTACTTGTATTCTTCCAAGTGACTACTGTCCACAGTCAAAGTTCGAGGTGCGTGCATCCGCATTGCCGCATGCCGACCCGTGCGTTTCGACATACAATCTGAATTACAATGTACGGAATTTACAGACTCCAAGCCGTCGCCCGCGTCCGTATCCGAACGGAATAAGAAGCAGCTTTACTGTTAACTCTATTGTCCTGGCACACACTAAACAATGTATTTTTGCCTAATATGGAGGCGCGATTATGTCAACGATTGTGTTTTGTTTTTAAAATAATGACCAATGCGGCGCGCATCGGGAATGGCAAAGCGAGTGTCGCGCTTTCAGCATTTTAAGTGTGTCCGGGAGCTGGTTATGTCCCTTTGACAGTTTTATTTATTCAAATAAGCACTAAGTACGTGGATGTGGATAGCTTCTCGTCATGCACGACAATACTTACTTACTGCTTGGCCTGGAGTATTAACCTTTTTTAGTTAAGTTTAGATTTTCTATGCTAAGATTTTCCGTTCAAGAAAGAACATGATTCGTGCAGTTAAAATTAATTGGTTGATTCTTTTCCACTTGTATGTTTTCAATAAATTGTTGCTATTTGCATAAAGTATGAAATAAGTTTAAGGTTTGTGCTGTAATAGTACCTACGGCCTACGGGTAACATAATGAACTTGGTATCCCTAAAAACCAGAGTGAATCACAGACCATGTAATCCAAGTTTCGTTTGCTTTAGAGATGGGTTATAAGTACTAGGTAAATTTGATACTAGGTGCACCTATTCCAAGTATTTATTAATACTCGATCCAAATACCTGTTCCACCTAGTACGTAGTAATTTAGCATACTTGACGCGACTAGTGCGGACTAATCCAAGTAATATGACTTTAAAATACAATTTTCTTTGAAAAGATACAACCGTAGTATGAATAATGCAATTTGAAATTGAATAATAATTCCTCTCTTCATACTTCAACAGGCTTTGGACTGTCAACTTAAAAGTTGGCGTATTTAAAAGATATCAATTTCATAAAATATTTACATACTTTTTTCTTATTTACATGAATATGGTTTGACTACGTTTGTGTGCGTTTGCTTCGTCGCGCTCAAATTTGTTTGGTCAGACAGAGACGGAGTGAATCTCTACGTTCGCACATAAGCTTAGCGAGAAATACTAGGTGGATCAAGTATTTTAAAAAATGGAATAGGTGCCGCCTAGTACTGTAAAATACCTAGTGTGTGGATCTGTTCTAGTAAATACGTCTCATCTCTAGTTTGCTTCCTACCTATTTCACAAATCAATGAAATAAAAATATTGTTTCAAATGTGACGTAATATTGGGCATTTCCGCAAATGCACGCCTGACAGTTCTCGGGTAGGGCCGGTTGCGTCAGCTGAAAGGTTGCAGAGCCTGTGGTTACATCAAGAACTGATTGCGCCTCCCGGTTACCTAACACACGGAGAAATATACAGGGACTAATTCTAGATTTAATTAGACAGCTCACCTATTAGATTATAGTGAAGACGATGTCTGATTTTTTAAGTTAAAAAAAACTGCTCTTCAAAATCTACTTACCTACTTGGAGATAAGTAAATCTTATCAGCGAATTGAAAAAGAAACTAGTTAAATAAAGAAGAAGCGAAGATGTAAGTAGAGATGGAAAACAATGCTTGGAATTGATTTCCTAGAACAGACCAATGCCTAATAGAAAGACAAAGTATAGGAACATTCATGTGATGATGATATTGTAGTGTCCGAAGCATGGAGGATCTTATTAGGCACAATGACACATCTAATAATAACCTGATGGCCTGATGGATCATCTGCAGCACCTGACAAATAGAAAATTTGTAAATTAGTTCTCCGTTTCACAGCACAACAGGTCGGCATTACAAAATTTCGATTATTTTCGTGACCGGCAAAAGATTGCAAAACCAGGATTAAATGAATAAATCATTACGAAGCAAACAGTTATGTACCGCAATAATAATAAAGTGAGCGCTGTCGTGATAACAATTTGGATATAAAATATTTTGAGGAGCGTTAAAGTTCCGGCGCGTTCGTGGAAATGCCCATTTTCGCAGTAATATGCGCGGGCGCACCGCCGCACGTGGCCTGGAGGCAGCGAAGCGCGGAGGGGCGGGAGGTACTAGGGCTGCCAAAGATGCAAAGATGTAAAAGCAAAAAGTAGGTACAGTACTACAGTTGATAGCTAAATTAACAAAAGCTCCACACTTTTGTTGCGAAAAGGTACACAACAACTTTATAAGACGCCACAGTCAGTGTTTCGCTTGATGTGACTCGTAATGTAGTAGACTCGTAGTATGAACATGAAAAATATAATTTCAATGTTTCCACTGTCATCAATGAAGTTACTGAAAT